GGTCATGAAACATTTGATCTTTACTCAAGAAGATAGCACTCTGGTTGTCACAGAAAAACTGTGGTCACCTTTATTCTATCATCGAGTTCTCCAATAACCCCTTCAACCAGATATCTTCCTTAACTGCTTCTGTAATCGCCATGTACTCTGCCTCGGTAGAAGACAGGGCAACTGTAGACTGTAACTGGGCTTTCCAACTAACAGCACAACCATTTAGAGTAAACACATACCCTGTAATTGATCTTCGTTTATCCAAATCTTTGCCATAATCTGAATCAACATATCCGAACACCCCAGTGTTAGATTTACCAAAACGTAAACACATAGAAGACGTACCGCGTAAATAACGAAAAATCCACTGTACTGCTTTCCAGTGTTCTTTCCCCGGGTTCGCCATGTATCTACTAACCATGCTAACAGCATAAGCCAAATCAGGGCGCGTGCAGATCATAGCATACATCAAAGATCCAACAGCACTAGAGTATGGAACACGTGCCATGTAAGCCATATCAGTCTCATTAGTAGGACTCAAAGCGGATGATAGCTTGAAATGAGCTGCAAAAGGTGTGTTGACAGACTTTGCTTCGTGCATACTGAAGCGTCTTAGGACTTTCTCAATATAACTTTTCTGAGAAAGATGCAAGATCCTAGACTTCTGTCACGAATAATTTCCATACCTAAAATCTTTTTGGCAGCTCCTAAGTCCTTCATTTCAAATTCAGCTTTCAACTGGTCTTTTAACTTCTGAATCTCCTTCATATCTTTCGCTGCAATCAACATGTCATCCACGTACAAGAGTAAGTAGATCTTTGAACCATTGTCACCTTTCTTGAAATAAACGCAGCTATCATAGGTGCACCTGCTGAATTTGTGACTGGTCATGAAAGAATCGAACCTCTTGTACCATTGTCTAGGAGACTGCTTGAGGCCATAAAGAGATTTGTTCAACTTGCATACGTAGTTCTCCTTTCCAGGAACTACAAAACCTTCAGGTTGTTGCATAAAAATCTCTTCCTCAAGCTCACCATTTAGGAAAGCTGTAGTGACATCAAGTTGTTCTAACTCAAAATCGTTAGAAGCAACCAACCCCAACAATACACGAATGGAAGTATGTTTGACAACTGGGGAATAAATGTCAGTGTAATCAATACCAGGAATCTGACTGTAGCCTTTAGCTACTAACCGAGCTTTGTATCTTGGTTTATCATTTGGGTTGACAGGTTCCTTGAGCTTGTAGACCCACTTGCATTTAACTGGTCTCTTCCCTTTCGGAATAGGAACTAAATTCCAAGTACTGTTTCGCTGCAAGGATTCCATCTCATTTTGCATAGCGAGCATCCAATCATTTGAGTCTTCAGATTTGATAGCCTCGTCATAATTCGCAGGCTCCGTTGCGGACTCAATATTATCAGCAACAATAAAAGCATAGGCAACCAAATCAGATTCAGCATACCTCTTCGGAGGAATAATCTGTCTTCTCGGTCTATCTCTTGCAATGCTTGGAGTAGTAGCTTGTGGTTGTGAAGGTGTTGAATCTTCACCAACAACATGCTCATCCGACGAAGAAGAATCTTGATGCTGATTTGTACTCTGATTAGTGGTAGGTGAAGTAGGAAGCTCCACCTCCATTTGAGCATTCTCTTTATTTGCTTCGGATGATACATCTGATGCATCTGTTCTTTTAGAAGAGTCAGCAACTGGTTGAATCATAGCAGACTCATCAAAAGTAACATCTCTTGAGATGATAATTTTCTTCAAATCAAAGCTCCATAACTTGTAACCCTTTACACCTTGATTGTACCCAAGAAAAACGCATTTGATTGCTCTTGGTTCTAGCTTCCCATTGTCAACTCGTGCATACGCTGGACATCCGAATGGTTTTAAATCTGAATAATTTGCAGGTTTACCGGACCATAACTCAAACGGAGTTTTCTTCTCGATTGCTCGTGACGGTGATCGGTTGATAACATAGCAAGCAGTCGAAGCAGCCTCCGCCCAAAAAGACTTTGGCAATTTGGAATTAGAAAGCATACACGGACCTTCTCCATAATGGTGCGATTCATCCTTTCAGCTACACCATTTTGTTGAGGTGAATGGACTACTGTGCGATGTCGAGTAATGCCTTCCTTTTGACAATAGACATTAAACTCTTCTGAGCAAAACTCAAGTCCATTATCCGTACGAAGATACTTTACCACCAGACCTGATTGCTTTTCAACCTGAACTTTCCAATTTCTGAAGGTAGAGAAAACGTCTCCTTTATGTTTTAAGAAGAAAGACCACACCTTCCTGGAGAAATCATCAATAATAGTGAGCATATAAATAGCTCCACCTTTTGAAGCAACTCGAGCCGGTCCCCACAAATCCGAGTGAACATAATCAAGTGGTCCTTTCGTTGTATGGATGCCACTTGCAAACCTCACTCGTTTTGCCTTGCCATATACACAGTCTTCACAGAAATCCAAATCAACAATCTTTTGTTGACCAAGTAAACCTCTTCGACTCAATTCTGACATGCCTTGAAAACTCATATGGCCGAGTCGAAGGTGCCAAAGACGGGACTGATCTGGATCAGAAAAAGACTTTGACACAACAGCAGCATCACTCGAAATTGTTTGCCCGTCAAGAAAGTAAAGATCTGAGGTTTTTCGTTTGGCTCTCAGTTTGTCAGAGCCGTCTTTGAATACCCTGAGAACTCCACCTTTACCAGCAAACTCGTATCCCTTTTTGTCAAAGGAACTGAGAGATAACAAGTTTCTTCTGAGGTCAGGAACATATCTAACATCCCCCATGGTTCGAATAACTCCGTCAAACATACGGATCCTGACTGAACCATGTCCAAGAACTGGACATGTAGTATTGTTACCCATCAACACATAGCCCTGGTTAACCTTTTCAAATGTGTAAAACCAACTTTTGTTGTGACACATATGAAAAGTACAACCAGAGTCGAGTATCCAATCACCAGTGGAATCCAGTTTATCTGAATAAACTGTCAAAAGTTCTCCAATACCTTCGACCTCAGCTAGATCGGCTTCACCCGAAGTGCTAGCTTGTTTACCATTTGCTGCCGTCTTCTCTTTTTCTTTGTTCTTCAACTTGAAGCATTCTTCAAGCACATGTCCCTTCTTGTGACAATAGTTGCAAAACTTTCGTTTGCCTTTTGACTTGGATCTGGTTCTGTTGGAAGATTGAGAAGTTCTACTTCTCTCTGTTGTTCTTCCTCTGGCATTCAAACCTTCGGCTTTAGCATCACTTGAACCACCACCAGTAATATGCTTCATCTTCTCTTTTGAATCCAAAGCTGTATAGACTTCATCTAAAACTAGAGTGTCACGGCTATAGATAATAGTATCACGAAAATGGCTATAGGATTCTGGCAACGACGATAGTAAGAATAGAGCCAAGTCTTCATCTTCATACTGAACATCCATATTCTCTAAGTTATTTACTAACTCTTTAAATGTGGATATATGTTCAGTTAAAGAGCCTCCTTCAATCATCTTGAGATTGAACAACCGTTGCTTCAAATGCAACTTGTTTGGTAAGCTCTTGGTCATCAACAGTTGCTCCAACTTTAGCCATAAAGAAGCCGCTGACGTTTCTTTTAGAACATCTTGCAAAACATCGTTTGACAAGTGCAAACGAATCTGGGATAAAGCCTTCAGATCTTTCATCTCCTTTTCTTCTTCGGTCCATGTATCGGGCATCTTATTGAAACCCAAAAGCGCCTTGTGTAAATCCATCTGAATGAGAATGTCTCTCATCTTTACTTGCCACAACGGAAATCGTGTGTTACGATCCAGTAGTGGAATATCGTATTTTACCGAAGACATGATTAATTACTTGATAAAATGATCCCAATGAGCTAATATTACAACCCGGATGCTCTGATACCAATTGTTGTGAAATACGAAGGATCCGAATAGACTTAAATAATATTAGCTCAATGCGGAATGGGATCAAAAATTATCAAAGCGTAATAATCACAACGAAATACGAATAAAATAAATAGAATAGAGACACAGGAATGTTACGTGGAAACCCAAATCGGGAAAAAACCACGGGCGGAGGAAGCCGAGAAACAATTCACTATAATTTGCAGTGTTTACAGGGATTATGAAAGAGATTACAAATAGAGTGAGAGGGCTAAAATATATGGTGGTGTATCAGTATATATATATATATATATATATATATATATATATATATATATATATATATATATATATATATATATATATATATATATATATATATATATATATATATATATATATATATATATATATATATATATATATATATGATTGTTGGGTTCATTCGTAATGAAATGGCTTAGGCTATTTATAGCCAAAGAAAAGAACATATGAAAGGATAAAAAATGCCGTCGTCCAAAAATGTTGCGCCTTCAAATTTGAATACTATTCATGACCAAAGACTCCGCCTACAAACTTTTGAATAACAAATCTCCAAATTCACATGTGCCGTCCAATTCTTCAAATATTTCATATATATTACTATTCATAGTCAAACTATGAATAGTAAATGATAAGTTACGGAAATAACCCCTGAACTATTTGCCACTTGCTAATTTTGGAGGCAACATTTTCCACAAGAATCATGGAGGAGTCACTAACTCCTCTTTTAAGGCTTGAAGCATCAACAACAAGTGGCCCGATGAAAAGACATAAAACATGGAGACGAGAGGGATAACTTCCATGCTTCCATTGTCAGTTCAAGGGTGAGTAATATCTTCTTGCTCATCTTTTAAGCAAAACAATTCCTTAGCGTATTTTCAAGTCCAATATATTATTATATATTGTCTTCAGGTTCTTGAAGACGAGATTGCTCGAGATTCAACATTTACTAATAATAATGGGACACACCTTCCAATCACATCAATGGCTTCAACGCAACACCCGGCGACTATGGAGAATCTCCCGGGGGAGCTTTTAGAAAACATATTCATCCGCTTATTTGCCAAACAACTTGCTCAAATGAGATCTGTCTCCAAATCATGGAATGCCCTTTTATCTCATTCCTCTTTTGTAAAATCCCACCTCCATCGTTCCATCCATCACAACGATCAAATTCTCTTGGTCTTCCAACATGAAGAAGAATTTTCTTCTTTTTACTACTTTAAACCATTCACTGAAAAACTGAGTCGATGTCTCCGTCTTGAGGTCGCTAATTTCATCAAAGTCCCGGTTAACCCCCAATCCGGACATACAGATGGCATCAGGATTATTGGTTCTGTTAACGGCTTAATATGCTCTTCTTACGATAATCATTCTGTCATTCACATTTGGAACCCTTCTCTTTCAGCCGTGTCAACTCTTCCGCCATATTCCACGCCCTCCCCTTGTTACAGTTGGATCAAAGTCTCTTTTGGGTTTGGGTTTGATCCCAAAACAGATGATTACAAACTTGTCAAGCTCACAGGCCTTAGCGGACCACCCCACATATGTCGTTAATTCGTGGCTGCAAGTCGAGATTTATAGTATGAGAAAGGGTTTGTGGGAGTTGATCACTGAGAGGTTTCCCTCACACATCACAACCCTTACCAATGGCAATTATTTTTGTGTTGATGGTCATGACGGCCATCTTCATTGGCTTGGTTGTATTGGTGAGAAGTATGAGTCAGAAAGGATAGTGGCATTTGATTTGGGTTCAGAGACATTCCGTGAGATACGTCTTCCAGATTTTATACTTGATGATAACCGTCAAAATAGTTTAGGAGTTTTGGCTGAAAAGCTCTGTGTGATTACACATGTTAGGGTTGATGGTACTTGTGATGTGTGGGTAATGGATAAGTATGGGGTTGCTGAATCATGGGTGAAACGCTATGTCTTTTCAAGGTTTAATGAGTATGCATGTGTATTTGGATTCACATCACGCAATGAGTTTCTCTTTGAGGAGGACGAATACCTTGTCTTGTATGATCCAAATGCAAACACGCTGAAATTGTTTGAACATTATTGTCCTCCAGATTGTTGTATACAAAACATCGTGGAGTATGTCGACAGTCTTGTTTGGGTAGCACCTGCCAAGTATGAGATGGTGGATGATGATAGAGGAAAAAATTGAAACGGAGAGACTTCAAGTATGATGCAGTGTTTTTTAATTAGGTTTATCTATATTCTTTCTAGTTGTTCAATCTGATATTCTGTTGCAGACAGATTAACATTTGCACATGTTGGTTTACACTAAACAGATGTCTAGCCTTATTTTATTTAGGGTAAATTACATGAATGGTCCCTATGGCCCGTGATAATTTATATGGTTGGTCCCTAATTTTTTTTTACTCTGCCCATCCCGCTGGTTTAGTTTTTGTTTGTGGTAAGTCTAGAAGAGACCTGAAATGACTCTTGTACCTTTATCTATATGTTTTTAGTTTTTTTATTACTGATTTTATTTCTTTAATTATATTAATTTTAGTGGGTTCTAATCCATGTTATCTCTTGCACACAAAAACACACACATACTCAAGTTCCTCTTTGAAAATCACTGAAAAGTAAAACTCAACAGATATCATCTTAGGCCTTTCTGTCTCTCCTCCTCTTCTCTCATCTCATCGGTGGTACATATAACCGGCACCTCCGACAAGCAACACTGTCACATCCGCCACCATATGCCGACATCGTCCTATGATGAATCATCGACTGACTACTATGTCGTAACTCCACCTCCAGATCTGCCCTCTATGTCACTTCTTGTCCGGAGTACGACGATGACTTGAGTGGTGGCGCCGACGATCTCCTTCTTGCCGTCCACTAGTTCTTGAGTTTCATTTTGATCCACCCCAACAAACTAATCCCTTCCGCATCAGGATGTGCTCATCATTGCTGAAGAAGGTGCGTATGCAGGGTGGTGGTGATGGTTGAGTTCACTAGCATTGTATTAGATCCGGTGTCGATGTCCCAGATCAAGAGGAAGAAGGAGATGGGTTTGTTTGCAGGGGAGGAAAACGAGCAAGAGAAGGGTATGCAAATGTTTCAGCGGTTGTGGTTGAAAGGTGGTTGACGACAGAAGTATAACCTACGACTTCTGGTTGCCGGAGGAAGAATGGTACGGGGTTGGTTGCATGGGAGGAAAAACGAGAATGGGAAGTGTAGGCGGATCTTTTTGACGGATGTGGGTGAGAGGCGATCGGCATCGTAGATTTCTGGCGGCTGTTATCTCATATGGTTCTCTAATGAGTTAGGGCTCTCTTATGGGTGAGGGTTCTCTAATGAAGTATCTAATGAAGTAGGGTAAGAGAAAAAGATAGAATGGTATAATAATATACATAATTATAACTAAATTAAAAAATAATAGTCAAGTACAAAACAATCTTTTTATTTATGGTAGGGACTATATATGTAACAAACATTGAGGACTATCCAAGTTAAGAAAATGTTAGGGAACAACCATGCATATTAACCCAAATAATAGAATGAAATTTACCCTTTTATTTAAGACCCATGTTTATTGGTCACAGGTAATCTACTTATCCTTGGTGGCAAAAATAAATAAATAAAAAGTATATCTATTTAAGCATTTGACTGGTATAATATAATTTTTTTTGATATAATTGCAAAAATGTCCCTGTGGTATGTATTTTTTGGGGGTTTTAGTCCAAACCACAACTTTTTTGGATTGTTGGTCCTTTTGAGGTAGTTTCGTTGCATTTTTGGTCCCTCGGTAAACTGAAATGACTATAATGCCCTTCTGATATTTTTTTATGTTTTTTCTATTTAATTTAAATGAAAAAGAAAATAAATAATTAAATTGGACCCATCTCTCTCTCTCTCTCTCCCTCTCTCTCTCTCTCTCAATACACACAATAATATGAATTTGAAAAACAGTCGTTTTTTTTTCTTGATAAATACACAAGAATTTGATTCTCAAGACAATTTTTTTTCCTGATTTCAACAACAAAAACATCACATTCACAAACCCATACATTATTCACGAACCCATAAATCTTTTCTTCTTGATTTTCTAGAAACCATTCATGAACCCCCAAAATTTCTTCCAGAATCCTTTAAACCCAAAACTGAAACCCATCACACCTACCTTGAAACCAATCTCCAACCAAATAACCCTTGAATGATTTTCAACCTCATCAACCCACAAAAGAAACCCACTCCTAGGTCCCTATAGATTTCAATAATCATCATTTAGCAAAAGAAACCCAAATGTTATCGAGGTTAGAATAAGAATGGAGTATTATATTCGGGAGTATTCCCTACCGAGATTCTTCTTAGTGGTGGAAGTTCTTATGATTGCCATGCTTCCACAATCGCACATCACTATTTTTTCTTGTTTGGATGAGAAGAAGTAAGAAGAAGATGAAGATCTCGTGAAGAAGAAGAAGAAACTGAGAAAAAGAAGGAAGAAGAACCGGTCAAATGGACAAGAATCGGTCAAATGGACGAATAAAAAGCATGGACCGGTCAAATGGGTTTTAGATGAGGAACCTGACCCCTTCAGTTTTTACAAAAGGACATATTCAACCCGACAAAATCAACTTTATTCCCTTAAAAGACACAAAAATAACATAAGATACTGAATGGGCAAATGTGAAAAACATCGTAGGGCTATAGTGTCATTTTCCCTTAATATATTTTGTACACATATATGAAAGTATTATACATGTATTGTTTGTTGTGTTAGGGTGTTGATATATAGTTGATAAAAAAAAATAAAGAATTTGGTTAGTCATATATATTTTTTTATATAGTAATTGACATGAGTCTTGTGGGTTGGTGTGGTTGATCAAACGGGAGGCTTTGTTGGTGAATCATTGAGGCATGTTAGATTCACGGTGATTTTGGTTAAAAGAAAGGGTGTCAAATTAAACCCCATATCTATCCCTTGTTCTCAAGAATGAAAGCATCCACTTAAACATAATATCATATCATATCATATCATTATAAAAGAAACATATTTTTTTTCTTTCATCAAAATCATTTGAAACTCTTATGACTTTTCACTTTCTTTCTAATAATATTATAAATTTGTTAAATAATGTTAAATAAACAAAAAAAAAACATTTGCCTAAACATAAACTTATAACTGTTTTGAAAATCTCTTTGATTTATAAGCACAAACGGTATACTTGATTATATTTTCTAAATGAATTCATTTTATAATGAATTTTTGAATCATGAAAATACACATAAACAAACTTTCTATATTAGGTAGCTCTATTAGATTTATGATTTTGTGATTTAACAAGAAGTTATTTAATAAAAAATTACTTCTTCGGATAAAAACTTACAAGATTATTGAAAAATGGAATTATTGAATAATATTTTTTTTACAACGCTTATTTATTTATTTATTTTATTTACCTAATATGTTATTTAACAAAATGAAATTATTGACAAATGTATAATGGAGTTCGATTAAAATTTCTTCTTCCCACAACGATGGTGAGAGTAAACAAGAGAATGTCTCGTCCTCTATATATATAGGAAAGATTGAAATTTTCAAATGCAAAAAGCCATAAGAACTTCATTACGCCTGCCTTTGTAGGATACTTTGGTTTTGGCAAGTGTCCAGTTAAGTTTCAGATTTTTTAAAATGGTTATGGACCATATTTTTTCTGGTTCAAACTGGGTTTTCAATAAAAACAATTATGTTGTTGGGTATATTGAGTTGAACCTGTCTGAGTTTGACCAATTTAAGCCGAGTTTGATTAATGTATAAGTGCTTTGGCCGGGTTAGCCAAACTCGTCTTGGTTGAAGGTGAAGTCCGAGTAACTTGTGAGTATTTGGTTGAGTTGGTCAAGTTTTACAACCTTGTTAATAAAATTTTAAGTTCCAACCTTATAATGATGTATCTCTTATCATATGTTCTATATAATGATAGTATTTAAGATAATTTTTTTAATTTAGTATGAAATTATTATTTAATAGATAACAATAATGACTTAGTTATTTTTAACAACTTGCATTTGGTTCTATTTTAACTACATAACTTTGTATAAGGGCAACAACTCCAAGTGTCAACATTATCTCTTATGATATAGTGCAACATAAAGATAATACTTAAAATCAGGATAATATTTAAGATAATTTTTTGATTTATTATAAATTTATTATTTATTTGTTAATAACAATGATTTAGTTATCTTTAATATAACATACCTTTTTCTTATTTTAACTAGGTATTTTATACATGCATTCGCCTGGTGGAACATAAAGTTGTGTTATTTATAATCATGTCATTTGTGTATTTTAAAGTGGGAACACAAACATCAAATAAGTTCTTCTTGGAGTTTCCACGTTGGCTGGATTTTGATGTAAATCTCCATTTATCCATTTCATACTCGAAAGACAAGTGCTCCTAGCCTAGCTGAATTTATTTATTTCTATTTTATCCTGAAAATTAGAAGTCTAAATGTTAAGAAAGGTGTTGAGTCAACCCAATGATGTTTTGATTCAAGATCAAAATTGTTGGCATTTAAGTTTACGTTTCTTTCTAGGATTTAGGACAATGAGAATTAACCATCGGGAAAGTGCTAGTGTTCTTTTTTATTGCTTAGTTTTTCTTTTTTCTCAACAAATATGTACTTTTTTTTGGAAACGGCGATTTAGAAAAAAACAACAAACAAAACAGAACAAGCGCACGCCTACAAGAGACAGGCGGAGCAAAAAGAAAACAAAACAAGATTACATAGTTTTAAAAGGACAACAAAGCCAATCCGACCAAATAAATCTACCCAAATTGCCCCTAAAGTTCACCCAATTGTACACCTCAATAATGATGTGGTCCGCAGTATTCGTAGGGGTGGTGTGCTTTTTATTAAACACCATGTCATTTCTGGCTTTCCAGACAAACCAAAGGTAACCGTACACAATGGCAATCAAGATTCTTCTCTTCTTTGGATATCTACCCCAATTAGCCGCAAAACCCACCAGGTCTTTCACCGAATCAAAAGTCTGCCATGGGATATTACACCATTTTAACGTCCATTGAAGCACCTCAGTAGCGAACGAGCAGCCAATCAAAATGTGATCTGTAGAGTCGAGTCCATTAGAGCAAAAGTGACCGGAGGTGGGAATGGAGACTCCTCTGAGAGAAAGAGCCACCGCAG